TTGGATAAACTAGCGAGCGACTCGATTATCGTGGCCGATAATTAAACACGCCTGGGAAATGCTTATCGTTTTACTCGCTTCTTATTATTCTCGAGCAGTTCGATGGAGAGGAGGAACGAGAGCCAATAAAGAAGTTTCCTATTTTTTTTTTTTTTTTTCGAAATTGTATTTCTATCCGTTCGAAACGATATATATATATATATATATATATATATAATCAAACGTGCATTCCTTTCGCGAGGTTGCTTTAACATCGATCATTTCATCAGGAGGAGGAAAAGGTGAAGCGATGAAAAGTGGAAGGTACTTTTTTCTGAACATCTTTGATGTCGAAGTTAATGCAGTTTGTATTAATCTATGACGTAGATTATTTACATGTAAAAAAGTTACACAAAAATATATACGCTCTTTTCAAACATATATATATATATATATATATATATATAATACGAACCAATTACATTATCGTGTTTACCCGATATGCGCGCGTATACGTTACGATATACCTGAGAGCAAGAATCGAACACCGTGCATTGAAAATTGTACGAAATCCGGGATGGCGTGTCGCTTCATCGATCGTATCGCGAATGTTTTTTCGTGTAAAGAAACGTCAAATCAAGTATAGGTACATATAGGAGGGATGGTAAGAGGAAATAAATTTCCTTTACATGATAGGCGCAAGAGTTACATAGATGTATATCTCTTGGGAATCTTAAACGCTGTTCTTGAAAGTTTCTAATCACGCGATCGACAACCTCCTCGGTGAGAATAAGCGTTCCACGAGATTGAACGAGGGAAGGGAAAAAAAGAGAGAGAGAGAGGAATCGATTTTCGAGCGGGAAGATGGTTCCTCGATGGCTTTCAATTAACGCTCGGTTACTCGACACACGACCATGTTTACATTCAATTTCCTTGGCCTATAAAAATGAAGAGTCGATGTTTGTGACGAACGTGTCTTTGTACAGGTGCATATGGGAAAGAAAGAGATGGAAAGAGAGAGAGAGAGAGAAAGAGAGTAAACTCGATTCGAAAGCATGGCAATAAGAAAGCCTCGTTCGAGGCTAAACAATCGGAAGATTTTCCGCTTGGTTTGCTCCCTGTTCGGGAAGCGATATCTCTGGTTGCTCGTGGAACGAGGCCGCGACGTAATTTCAACAGTTGTTTGAATGATGAATGAAACGCACACAAAACGACGGGTATCTCGATATTGTCCCCTCCCTCGTTATAACAAGATCAACTTTCTTCTCTCCGCCTCGCGATCACGGCCGGTTTACACGGTAATAAACACAGCTTATTTCCTTTCCACTTCCCCCCTCTCTCTCTCTCTCTTTCTCTTCCCTCTTCCTCCTCTCACAAGGACAAGGAAAATCGTTTATACCGAGTTCTCAAATATTCGAAGAACCGAGCAGATTGTACTTTCTCTCGAGAATTATTACTTCGTAATTCTCAACCTAATTGTATCGATGCGAGAAGGGTGTACATCCTCGCGCATTCCATTTCTCCGTTTAATAAAAAGTTGAGAGTAGAAAATACGAAACGTCGCAAAACACTCGCGAGTTATAACGTGCGCGATATAACGCAGATCGATATCAGCTATAATTGCTGGCCGCTTAACACTTGACCCCCGGTGCGCATGCACGCGCGCAACCACGCATTCGTGCACCGAAGGGGGAAAGTAAAAGTGGCAGGAAATTGCATTAGAAGGGCACGCGCGCCCCCCTCCTCTCTCTCTTTCTCTTTCCTTTCTGTTCCCTGCCTTCTCGCATCGTTGCGTGTACACGGTCAGACTGGCGGCAGGTGGACCGTGGTGGCAAGGTCGTCTAGAGAGGTTTCCAAGGTTTCTAGGCGCGAGGTTGGGTTTATGGGTAATGAAAAGTAATAGCCACCCTTCTCGCCCTCTCGTAGGCGTGCGTAAAGAAAATGTGATACGCTAGTGTTTATCGATGCGTGCGAGAAAAATTTATGCTCTAACTACGAGTTTAAACTTCTGATAAAAATAATAAGGAAGAAGGGTATATTTCTTGTTGGAGAATAATTAAAATTTGTTTTCCAGCGGTGAGCATGCGGCAATATCTGAACAACGACAATTATTTATGTTTGATTCGTTTAGAATATCGCTTCACAAATAGGTTTCTAAACTCTTTACGTATAATTTTACGAAGTATAATCTTATCTTATGGTAATCTTATAAGGCCACCGAACGCAGCGAATGCGTCTGAGTCTGGAGTTGCTGGTTCGACCGAGCGAAATAGGCCTGGAATGCAAAGGGTTAATATTAAGTATTGTATAAATTATAATACTGCATCAAAGGGAGGAAGAAAACAAGTTTAAGTTTTTCGAGTATTTTTGAATGTTTGAATATTCGATCAACGAGAATACTCGATTGTTTCGGGAAGAATTTTAGTTATTAATATTTTAATTATTAACCCTTTGCTCTCCAACGATGACTCTCACCACTGGGACTGTTGCGGCAACTTGAACAATATTTATTTATGTTTGATTCTTTTAGAATATTGCTTCACAAATAGGTTCCTAAACTCTTTACGTATAATCTTACGAGGTGTAATCTTATGTTATGAGTAATTATCTCGGTTCGACCGAGCGAAATAGGCCTGGAATGCAAAGGATTAATATTAAGTATTGTATAAATTATAATACTGCATCAAAGGGAGGAAGAAAACAACAAGGTTAAGTTTTTCGAGTATTTTTGAATATTCGATCAACGAGAATACTCGATTGTTTCGGCAAGAATTTTAATTATTACACCCTTTGCTCTCCAACGGTGACTCTCACCACTGGGATTGTTGCGGCAACTTGAACAATATTTATTTATGTTTGATTCTTTTAGAATATCGCTTCATAAATAAGTTCCTAAGCTCTTTACGTATAATTTTATCTTACGAGTGATTATATTATGAGGCCACCAAACGCACCGAATGCACCAAAGTCTGAGTCTGGAGTTGCTGATTCGAGAGAAACAGGAATGCAAAGAGTTAAACAGTCGGAGTCGAATGAATTTCAAATAATTGAATGAACATCAAATAATTCTCAAGACAACGAGATATAATCTGTATCGAAAATTAAATTACGCTGTTTGGCGGCTATTAATCTCTTACGAAAGTACGAAAGAAAGAGAGTGATAAATGATGGAGGAGAGTATTCCGGCGGGCGATAGATTTAGCGGAGCCATTTCGAGAAATTAAATTCTGCTCGCACGCTGCAATCTCATTAAATTGGCGGGGAAGAAACGTGTGGTTGTGTACGACTCCGGTGGAAAGCGTGGCGATGGCGTAACGTGTCCCTGGGTGGCCGAAATGAGAAAGAATCGAGGCCAGACGGAGGGGTGATTCTTATACGAGTTCCGTATAAGGTATATAAGTAACCCCCCTCGGTTCCAAGGGTTCGCCTTGGGGAGTGCTTTCCAAGCGTTTCAGTTTCTCGAAGGAAACGATGGCCGAGAAAAGCCTAAAAAAGGCTTGCCCTTCGAAAAAACCTTAATTATATATTTATAAAAAGGACCCTACACGTATGGCAACCACGTATTTCCCCGTATTTCTTTTTTCCCCCATTTCTAACAAATTCTCCCTCCGAGTACATCCTTTTTTTCCAATCGTACAATTGCCCGTGTGTGCACGAGCATCGCGCGATAAAATTGCAAAAGCAATAACTTTGGATGAGTGGAGATGAAGCCACTTTACGCTCGAGATCGTATCCCCGAAAATACATCCCCTAAAATGCGCGAAATAAAAGTATCAACGGCAACAACACGTGGTGGTTGAAGGCTACTCCATTGGACGGGAGTAATCCAATATCGGTCGGAAAGGAGAGGAGGCGAAAGGTATTTCAATAAGGGAGCAAACAAATCGAAGGAGGAAGCGGCCGTTCCACCGCGGACGTCGCGAAAGGAATTGAAAGAGCGGTGTGGGAATAGCGGCAGTGGTAATAGTAGTCGAAGTCGATGCCTGGTCGTACCGAAAAGAAGAGTGGAGGAAGGAAGGGCACGCGATGGCACGGAACGTACATACCCCCCTCCCCCCTCCCCCGTTCAAGGGTGGGAAACGTGGGCAGAATGCGCAGAAATGCCGGCCGCAAAACGCTCCGTCACGCGACTCGACGAGAGAACCGCGTTTGTCCACGTACCATTCATCCCCTCTCTTGCGTGCACCTACACGCGTATCCGTAAGGACGTACGGCTGCTACATCCGCTCGGGCCGCCATCTCTCGGGGCCGCGCACCCAACGTCGGATAAACCGCTTATTTTATTCATCAAACGTGAGATCAATATTGCATCGCGCCAAGACGGTGTACACAAAGAGAGGCGAAGAGAGAGAGAGAGAGAGAGAGAGGGGGGGCGAAGATCGGGGAATGCGGGCGATGGACGTTCAAACCGATCGCGTATCTCTGTCCACGCCTCTGTGATCCAACCCCCGGCCCTCGTCATACCTAACGTGGCGGAATGTGGGATGAAATTAGTCCTTAACCCTCCCCGCTCCGACGCGGTGGAACGCGATCCCCGCCCTGTGACGGGATGTCGGACGTTGGTATTCGAGTACGTGGCCAAGCGCGGAAACGCATCTTGCCGGCGATGTAAATGTCATCTGAGAGAGGCTGAGAGAAGAGGGTTCGAGAGGGGGCACAGTTCGCAATTTCGTCGATTATTTGCTTCTTTTTCTCTATTGGCGTATTCGCGTATTCGTACGCGTAACGTCTCTCGAAATATTTCTTTTTCTTTTTTTCATTTTAAAATCTCTTGTAAGATAAGAGAATATAAGCGTGGCCGCGAATCGTTGGGATTCGTTCCTCCGAAACTTGTTCTCAAAACTCGAAAGTTGGAGGTTATCCCCGAGTGACGTATACGCTCGTAACGATCCGATAAGATAGCTTATCTGGGAAGGGGAGGAGAGAAGGGGGTTGGAGAGAAAAATAGGGGAGGCGAAAGGTTATACCCCGAAGAGTCGGGCCTCGGTCTCGGTCTTTAACCAAGGTTTCCACGGTTGCAGGTAATACAGGGTAACACGAACACGTATTTGGAGTCGAAGCACGAGCTGGAGCCGCCTCTGTGGGCGAGCAAGATCCGTTTTCTGCCCTACAGCCATCACACGCGGACGGTTTGCATGCGGGTCGAGCTCTACGGATGTTACTGGAGCGGTAAGCTGTTTGCACTCTCCAATTTTCGTTGAACTTGCCGCCGCTTAGAATACTCACTGGACTGTCCATTAACCCTTATGCCATTCCCGTGTGCGCAAATTTGCTTTTCACAATCTTGCTTGTACAATTATCCCTTTCTTCCTTTGATGAACCAACATCGAATTAAACGTTTAACCAAACGGAAAGGTACACACCAAGTAACATAGACTGCTATTGTGTCTTACACGCTCGCCGTGCTTAGAAGTTCAATTAATTGTGAATCCAAATCCTCCAGGCAGTTTCCAAGAACTTCCTATCGCTTGATTAATTCTCTCTCTCTCTCTCTCTCTCTCTCTCTCTCTCTCTCTCTCTCTCTCTCTCTCTCTCTCTCTCTCTCTCTCTCGCCTCGACGAATACTAATTAATAGAAACGCAGTGTGGATTCTTTTTTTATTCTATTGAACTGCACATCGAAAAAGTAAATCTTTATCTCCCTCCACCTTCTTTCTCGTTACGACGGCCAAACACGACTGTTGCACTGTTGAGCGATCGGAAGATGGAGCGGGGGGTGACTCGTCACGTTTGATCTTTCCGCAGATGGCGTGGTATCTTATTCGATGCCCCAAGGCGATAAGAGGGGCAACGAGTGGGAATTCTTCGACGCCACGTACGACGGACATTGGGACGGGGAGCTGCAGCGTGGTCTGGGCCAGCTGACGGACGGCAGGACGGGCCCTGATAACTTCAAACTGGCGTACTACGATAAGGATCGAACGCAGGGGTGGGTCGGTTGGAGGAACGACACGCGCGGCCAACCGGTCGAGATCAAGTTCGAGTTCGACAAGGTCAGAGAGTTCTCGGCCATCCACATCTACTGCAACAATCAGTTCACCAAGGATGTCCAGGTGAGCCTTCTTTACCAATTTCGTCTCCAAATTTCGTCAAATCGTAAATCGTATCGATCTCACTCGTATCTCCTATCCTAAGTTTTCATTCCTTCCAACCCCTTCTTTTCAGATTTTATTCGAATATAAATAACAGCGGTTCGAATTTAAAGCAGCTATCCATCGTGATGATTAAAGAAACGTTCAAAAGTACGGAGAGATAGTAGCGAAGGGTCGTCGGAATAAAATTCCAAGGAATCGCGTCCAGAGATAAAAATAAATTTGAAAGCGTTGAGAATTAAGAGGGGGACAGCTTTCGCGTCTAATTACGTGTCCAACGTAAACACGTCGTGTAAAAGCGTTGGAATCGTTTACCCTACGTTATTCCTCCCCTCCCCTCCAACGGTAAGAAGGAATGCGCAAGCAGCGTTGCCCGATCAACAGGCTTACCCATCCACGCTGCCTCGTTCCAGATCCTCTTTTTCTTTCCCTCTCTCTCTCTCTCTCTCTTTCTCTTCCTCTCGATCCTTCCTCGAAATGTCCTTCTTCCACGGTTGATTGAATATTCCGCTCGACGCTTTTCATCGGTCGGACGCCGGTTGAATATAAAAAAATACAAATTGAAACACGGCGATTCCGTTATCTCGGAAGGAAGCGTGGCCTCCTTGGGGGATATTGGTTAAAAGCGTGGCGAGAATAATCGGGGCGCGTGATCTCTGTTATTAAACTCACAGCCGCGCCGCCACTTCACTTTCGTCATCGACGATCTCCTTTCATTAAAAGCGCACGCTTTTAAGCCGGACGCATTACGCTCGCGCATCCACCCACCTTTTCAACCATCCTTGCCATCATCGATTTCCTCGTACGACGCAAGAAGGATTTCCTTATCGCGCGGTATGATATTCAATTTCGTGAAATTTTGTAATTATGTAATGCGTGTAAACGTGGGAAAATCGTTGGTGTTTCGTTCGTCCAACGGATAAACAGCTGTTTTGAATTATATTATAATAAGGATTTAAAAAAGTGTCTTTTTGCAGGTTTTATTTTCTTCCTTTTATATCATTATCGAGTTCCAACGATATCGATAGAAATTTTCCCGAGTAAATTAATTAAAATGTGATCTGGCTTTTGCGCAAATTGGTGTTTGCAAAATTTCTGTAACTGTTTTCGTTACGTTTACGGAACAACGGGTAACACGATTTACAACCGTTTAAATAAAAATTCCGCTTGGTCAAATAAGATAACCGTTGGCGTTATTTTTGTATTCTCTACGGTACACCGGCGGGAAACAAATCACGCGGAAACGCGCAGTTAATGCGAAAATTCCTCTAGATATTTTTAATAACGAAATTACAAACGTTGGAAGAGAGGGAGGAAGGGAGAGAGGGAGAAGGTAGGAAACGATACGTCGGCTAATTTATTCCCGCTCCAAAATGCCATGCATTTGAGAAGAGCGCGCGGGTCAAGGAAAGTTTCGCTTTAATTCGCCGCCGCTTCGTTAATTGGAAAAATACGGGTGACATTAAACGCGTGCCGGACGATATTAAAGCGTGTGTACATTCGAGCCTCGATTCTACTCCTTTCTTTTCTCTTTCTCTCTCTTTCTCTCTTCCGTGGAATTAATGTAAATCCATAAATCTAATTCCCACGCGCGTGTACCAGCGAAAAAATCGCTATCATCGCGCGTTCCAGAGAATGTACAGTCGATCACAAAAGTTAGTAAGTGTCAGTGAAAAATTTTCTAATTGCGACAGGAATATTTTGTAATTTGAAATTTTACTCGATCTCGTTTCGTTTGTAAAATTGTATTTCAAGAAACAAAGGAAATGTCGATATTTTTTCGAAAAATGTGATCTTTGGTTCTTGATCAAAATACGAGCCATTGGCTTTAATCATTTTTTCCAAGAGATTGCAAGTGACGTGTTCCATTCTTTATAAAGCGCTTCTCGAGCGTCCAATATTTTATTTTTTTAAAAACAGCTAATAAATAGAGATGATCTAGTTTACAGAACTTTTTCAACCTTAATAAAGGTTTCGACGTTGTTCAGGATTTTCATTAGCGTCCAATTATTGTCCAGATCGTGTAGAATGTCGTATAATTTCTCACTAATTCTAGTTCAAAAATGAACTTTTACCGTTTCCAGGTTTATGCGATAAGCACATTTCGAAACGCGGCAATTTTTGATCCTCCGTCAGTCGGTGCGCTATCCATTTCCCCAATTTTTTCACTTTCTATCCATTGCAGCGAAATGTCTGAAAACTGTCGTTGCCTTTCAATTTATCTTTGTTTAATATCTATCTCGGGACTCATTTTCAAAATTCTCATTTCCAGATCCGAATTTTTGAAACCATTGAACGGTCCTCTCATTGATAGAATCTTCTTCGAAAGCTAACCTAATATTTCGATATGCTTCGACTGCACTTGGGCTCAGCTTAAACTCAGCTTAACACAGGAATAATATTCCAATTTCTCAAAACACAGTTAAACATAATACAAAAAAATAAGTTATTACACAGAGAAAGTATAAGAGGACAAGGTCAAAATACATTAAGCAAAATATAAGTTAACTAAGGTTTACGAGTTTCGCGTTTCATGTCTTGCAATCTAATATTAATATTAAAGTGATAAAATTTGGATCGATAAGCGAAGAATAATAATAGCGAATTCACGCGAATTGCGTCAGAAAACGTTGCTGTTCCCGATATAGGGAAAAAAGTAAACGTTGCCCGTATGTAACGAACTTTCGTGCACAATTTATACAAACGAAATTCAATGAACGTTGCGTAAATTGGAACTCTATTTTCTAGAGGAAAGGATTAAATTATTTATCCGTACTTGGCAGCGTTCCAAGCAATAATAAGATTACGAGTTAATAACGTTGACGATTCGAGGCCGAGACGTTTATAACCAGCCATATAATTGTCCATAATTTTTACCCACCGTGTATTTCGAAATTTAAACGGAAGCGAATTCAAGCGAAAACTGTCGTTGGAGATACGTCTAATTCTACGTCCACTTTGCCTTTCAATTTATCTTTGTTTAATATTTCAAAATTCTCATTTCCAGATCCGAATTTTTGAAATCAGTAAACGATCCTCTCATTGATAGAATCTTCTCTAGAATCTAATAAAATTCGTACATAATATTATAAATTCGATAACACCATATTGACCACTTTTCAAAAAACAGTTAAACTAATACAAAAAATAAAGAAATATAAGAGGACAACGTCAAAATATAAGATTGTCGTTTATTCTAAAATCGGCAATCTAATATTTTTCTATCCTCGTCCTCTTCGAAATGCTTGGTCGTGTGCTATAATCTAGCTTCACAAATCTTACTAAACAGCGCTCAACTTTCGTTTCAAAACGCTATCGTTTAATCGACCCGATCGTACGATATTTCATCCTGGATATAATCGATTTTAATATATACATAAACTTACTTAGTTTAACCTAAACGAAGATTTGTGCGAGCGGGGTGGATCAAAATTTAGTCATTCCTTCCTACGTTGCTTTATGTCGTAGATGGGGGACAAGCGGAAATGAGTTCTTGGCCTCGCGTCATTCGAGGCATTCTTCGCCTCGGACGGCCGCCCAATAATTCGACCCCCTTCGTACAATTTCCGTCTCGCCGCGATTTCGCGACCCTTTCGCGTTAACTTGGATAATGTAATGCAAATACATTATCCGCCACTCTCTTTCGCGACCCTCGCTTCGCGCCACCCTCTCGCCCCATTGATACCGATGCGATCGAATGCCAGATCCATGGATGGAATTATTTCCGCTCGAGGCAATAAAATTGGCCGCCATCAAAGGGATCAAACTTCGGATTCAAACGATGGTGTTCCCGAAAGTGGTTATTCAATCGTCGTCGCGCATCGTTCGAGGTGGTAACCGATTTATTTATTTTTGTCAGAGGAAGAGATTTTTTTCGAGAGATCGAATAGGTTCGAGTAGAGTTTAGAGAGTAGATAGAGGTAATATTTAACAGTTGGATATGTTTGGAGATGTAGCCGGTTGAGTTTAAACTTTCGAAATTATTGGATTATTTCAAGAAAGATATTCAACGTAATAATCAGCGCCGTTACTTTTATCCGATCTTTCTGTAATCTCGTCCATTTATACAACAACTTTTAACGAGGCTAATGGATAATTTCAATGGATCGAACTGAAAAACGTGAAATATTCCAATTTATTTCATCACTGGCTAGAAGGTGAAAAACATATAACGTCGATATATCGAAATAATTGATCGAGCCGATATACAAACGGATGCGTCGCGATTACGTATAATCGTTTCTTTCATTCCTTCTCGTTCGAACGAAAGGGAAACGCTGGCAGTTGACAAGAGCAACAACGTTCTTCGCCGCAAATAATATAAACGCAAAATACAAAACGAGAAATAGCGGGAGGGGGCGGACTTGAAATCCGCTTTAAACTCGCGAGCCGCCGCGGCGCATTTAAAGATTTGGCGGCGCGTGCGGTGAAATATGCATGGACGATTATTGAACGCACACACAGCGGCCGTAAATAGGGAGCGGCCGAATTCGGATAAAAGGTGGCGAAGAGGGGTATGTATTTGCCCCGTCCCTCTCAATCAATAAGGCCTATCAATCCCTCCCCCCCCTCTCCTCCCCCTCCCTCGTTTCATCAAAAAATCATTTTCGATAATTCGTTCGCCCGTTTCGATCGTTTCGATCCATCACTGCGACCACGTTGCACGAATTCTACGTTTAGCGACACAAGGCTTGACGAAAAATTTAAAAATTTCATACATTGGCTCATGAATACATTGACACCGGGGGAAAAATTTTGTCCCCGAATAAATAACACACGTTTAATTGAAACGTTCGATACCCCGTCCTGGGCTGTTCCTGGACTGGAGGGGAGGGGAGGAGGAGGGAAGGGGAGAAGAGAGAAGCGAGAAGAGGCTGTATTTTCGGTATCAGCAATTTCACGCGGGCGGTCACGGTGAAGCTGGCGATATTTTATTCGTGGCGTGACCGCCGGTGAGGGAC